TAGATTGGTGAGGCATGATTTCCCTTTACAAAAACCATGTTGACTCTTCTCCAACAAATTCTGTTCATCTATGTATCTGACAATTTTGTTCTTTACTATAGTTTCAACCAGTTTACCTGCTACTGAAGTCAGGCTAACTGGCCTGTAATTGCCAGGATCACCTCTGAAGCCCTTTTTAAAAATTCGTGTCACATTAGCTATCCTCCAGTCATTTGGTACAGAAGCTGATTTAAATGATAGGTTACAAACTACAATTAGTAATTTTGCAATTTCACATTTGAGTTCCTTCAGCACTTTTGGGTGAATACCATGTGGTCCTGGTGACTTATTACTGTTTAGTTTATCAATTTGTTCCAAAACCTGCCCTAATGACACCTCAATCTGGGACCGTTCCTTAGATTTGTCACCTAAAAAGAATGGCTTGGGTTTGGGAATCTCCCTCACATCCTCAGCCATAAAGACTGATGCAAAGAATTCATTTAGTTTCTCCACAATGGCCTTATCTTCCTTGAGTGCTCCTTTTGCATCTCGATCATCCAGTGGCCCCACTGGTTGTTTAGCAGGCTTCTTGCTTCTGATGTACTTTAAAAAAATTGCTGTTACTTTTTGAGTCTTTGGCTAGCTGCTCTTCAAATTCTTTTTTGACCTTCCTAATTATATTTTTACTCTACAGGGAGTCCATTAAGAAATATACCCATCTAGCCTTCTTGAACATCTAACACAGCCCAGTCTGCTGTCTTTTGGGTGAATGTTGCCACCTTCTGGGAACACAGCTAAACATGCTCTTTGCTACACCGCATAGATTACCACTAAGTGTAGTTGCCTCCAGTGGCCTGATACATGGTTTTCACCCCTAGCTTCCCAAGTCCCATATAGGGTCCATACTTCCTACAACCGTGATCTGTCAAAACCATCTCTTCTTTATTTTAAAAATAAAATACACGGAAGCTTACATCACATCAATGTGAACCAAAACAAAGCCATCTTGCTTCATATAGAGCTATTATCCATGACAGTAACCGTTTAACAAAGAGCAGGAAAAAAAATCAAACTTTACCTTAGTTGCTTTTAATTTTCCTTTCTTGATCAGTTTCTGTATCATCCTCAGTGCTTTGAGCCTCTTGTTATGCACGCGAATTGCATCAAACCCCACCTATAGAAACCAGGACCAAGTTATCAAAATTATTTTTGTTTTATCTAGGCAAACAGCTGTAGAAATTCCAAAGCCAATTAAATAGCAAACCTCCAAAATCATCACAGACTACTTACAGTGGATTTCAGGCTGCTTTTCAATCCATCTATATTAGCATAAAAAATAGGACTGGAAAATCTGAGAATCTTCACTCCTTCTGGTTCAACAACCTGTTGTCAAAATAATTTCAAGGTCAAGCATGTATATTACATTTACCTAATTAGCAGCAGCATCCAAACTTAGCCTAATAGAGCATCACTTTGATAACTTGCCAAGAATCCAAGTAGGCACCTAATTTATATAAAAAGGAGCTGATTGCTAGCTACCTTCACTTTTAATATAAAGGTTTAGCTCCCAGAAACTATAGTTCCCAGCATGCAATGTGGTCTGACCACTTGGCTCCAGATGGAAGTTTTTACACTGAGATCCATTATCTTCAGGAGCTGTGCTTCCATAGAGTAGGGTTACCATTCGTCCGGATTCCCCCGGACATGTCCGGCTTTTAGAGTTAAAAATAGCATCCGGGGGGGAATTTGTAAATGTCCGGACTTTCCCCCCACCCATGCAGAGCGCCTGCGGCTAACAGGGCAGCCAGCCGGATGG